AAGGGGGGAAATAATTCAATTTGGACCATTTAATCCGTCACATTATGTAATTTACGACCTGATTTATGGTTATTAAATTTCAACGGCTTCCCTCGGTTACGTGCGAGCGCAACGAAACGTTTCCAACTGAAGTCACGAAGTTCTATTTTCGTTTTGGCGAACATAGTTGCTAATTGCTCGACCGCCAGCAAATTTATTAAATTTAATTTAAAATGGCATTGAAAGCAACCACAAACTAATTGCTTTACATGGTATGATAATTATTAATTGTTACTTAATTTACATAATAATTTGTCACATCAATTCAATTTTGTTATCAAATTCTTATCGAGGTGAGTTTTTTCGCAATTAGAATATTATTATTAATTGTTTTGTTTATCGCGGTATATAAAAGGGAAAGAAAAAGAAAATAGTTTTCATGTTAAGGTGATAGCATGTATTAATAATAAAATCTTGAATATGTGGTATAATAAAGTGGTTTGCGCCTTGCGTTCACCCATAAATGCATATTACGGTTAACGACAGTTGAGAAAATCTTGTTTATAATCCGTTTATGCGCCTATTAAACTGTACGCATGCAAAAACAATATTTTATCGCTTATAAATCTCATTTGGGGATAATAAATTATTTACGTTTCCAATCTGCTCAACTCTTCAACATAATCCACCGTTTAATTAAAATGTCGATTTATACGCCGTTATCTTTAATTCAATTTAAGTCCAAGAAAAAAATTATTTCGATAAGATTAATTAAATACTCACATCTTTATTATACAGTGTACCCAACGGAATTATCATTAAACTTGTAGGGGAGCCATGTTAACTCAAACTCTATTAACTTTTAAAATGTTGAAACATTTGCGATAGCAAACGAATTAAGTTGACGTTTTAAGACTCTTAGCAGTTGCTTTACGCCTCGATTATGCTAACCTAACTTAAATGCAAATAAGATTTAAGTAATCCCATGTTTTCATTTTCAATTAGAACGTTGAATTTGCGTTTAAATTTCAGCTTTCGAGTTATTGGTGCATTATTAAAACTTATTTGTTACCGATTATAATATGATAACAAAATAATTTTTGAAGTGAAATGTTAAATTTAAAAATCATTTTAATTGGCATAAGTATGATTTACGTTAACAAAGTTATTTTAATAAATAATTCTGTTTCAAAGAGAAAAAATTAAGTCGTATGAATGTATAAGTTACACGTATGAGTTAATCAAGGAAATGTTTTATGTTAAATCAGTAATTATTATGACAGCCCAGACATAATGAGTTATAGTCTCGTTTATAGCTATATTTTATTTTTTAAATATGGTTATTATATTCTTTGGTGTTCTTATTATTATTTATGTTATAGCAATGTATTCAGCGTAGGTACTTTATTCTTAGGATTTATTAGATTAGATAAGAATGTCTTTCAGAACGAAATGGATATTCATATCAAAGTAGTATTTTCATTTGTTTCTATGCAGCAATAAGCGTTCAAAAATATTCTATTACATAATAGTAATGATTATGACGTGGTTCCAATTGACTGAAACACGAACACAATTGGATCTGAAAATGGACTCCTTTATCCAGGTTAACAGAAGCTTCACAAAGTTTCCATACTTTTTCTATGTTTTGGCTTTCCTTTGCCAATAGGCTAAGCAGTGTATCTAGGGACAATTTTTAAGTCCTCCGGTGAAAATCACTCTGATAACCCTATTCAGCAATTTACTGCATACCTCCAAAATCTAATCGTATCAATAAACGTTTTGCCAATGTAGCTGATGGGCTACATCTCCATCCAGGTTCGTGTTGTAGAAGAAGATGTAGTTTTTTAATAAGAAGGCATTATTAGGAAACCGAGGTATTCAAGCAGCGAAAGCAGTTGGTTATGCTTCACTGTAAGAAAATTCATCAGACTGGTTTTGATATGAATGGATGTTTTTCCAATTCAAGTGCATTATTTAGAAGTCGATGCAACAATTCTGCCATGATGGTTCCAACAATTTCAAAACATAGAGCTGAGGCTGCTGAGATTTCTGATAATACAACAAAATATAACATTGTATCTTCACTATTTTGCTTCATCAACTATAAGCACATACACTTTGTTTTAAGTGGGATTGCTACAATATTGTTGTATGTATCGATGTCGTGAGGTTTGCCAAGGGCTATCAAGTATATGTCGCATTTTGGTAAACACCCTCTATCTTCGTTTCTTTCGTTTCAGTTCCTTCAGTTAATAAATCTGAGGGAAGGGACCGAAAACAAGACATGTTTACATCTGTATTCGAGTATGTAAAAGTAAATCTACTAAGAAGTAAAGAAATCAATTTCCAACTCGGGAAGTAGATTTGCCATAATTTTGGAATGACCCAACCACTCATCTGTTGAGAAAAATCATTTATTCTGGATTACATCTCAAGCTTGGTATAGAAATAGCTTGTCAAAGTATTGGATACTGAATATGGCATACTACAGCAAACTTTCTTGATAACGAAGAAGCTCCCAAATAATACTATGGTTATAATATGAGTATCCAGCTCCATTAATATAGTCATCTATATCTATCTTCAGAGAATAATGCTAATGAAACATCAAATGAGATTGACCTGAACATATACACTTAAACTTTACACAACTTTTTTGCTTTTTGGTATATATTTAACGACTTCAATAGGATTATTGGAAAAATTGAAAAAAGAGGGTTGCCCAATGATATATTAAAAATTGCTGAGATATTTGCAAAAACAGTTATAATTTTATTATTGATGATATAATTCTTAAATTAAATTAAGTATATAATTCTAAAAATAATTAAATTAAAATATTCACAGCTAGTCATTCCTATATGTATAAATTAACTATCGCGATCGTTAATCATTTTCTAACGAAAAGAGCCGCTTACTTTGTAGACGAATAACTACATTAAATAACTGTAGTAATTAATTATATTTTTCCAATATTATTCTTGGTCATGAAAAGTCTTAGGAATTTTTTGAATATGTAAAATTTTGATTAGGTTAAAGTAATTAATTATTACTCGTTATATACCGTCTTAGAGAAAAAAAATTTAGCGCTCTTTTGATGTGAAAGATATTTCTTAATTTCCAATAATGTGTGGGATATATAAAATTGGACATTTCTGATTAGCATAAGGGAAAATGCTTGTTTCTTCAATTTTTTGGAGGAAAAATTAATACATTACCATTTCATGATATTCTCTTTCTGGAAAACCCTAGAATATCTTACAATTGGCGATAGTGGTATTAATATTACTAGCACACAAATTTGTACCAAATAATCTTCGTGCACTAGGAAAGTTATGCTGGAAAAGATTCGTATAACTAGCTATTCAATCAAGTTTCCAAACTGACTAAGAAATCTGAATCATCTCTTTCTACCAATAAAAACAGTCAAATATTTTCTGCTAGCAAAAGATGGTTACATCCAAAACATAACTTGAAAATTACAGGCAAGGTTGCATCTACACATGAAAAATTCCCAAATGACTTCACTAAAAAGTTAGAATCGGTTATGGAATATAATGGAATTGCACTAAACATGTTTTTAATGTGGACAAATGTGGATTATTTTGGAAACGAGTGGGTTTAAAGCATTTTCTTACGCCTTAAGACAAAAGTTTGAAACTAATAGCTACAAAAACATTGAATAGTAAGTCCAAGAGTCTGGGTATGATCTGATTTACTGAATGGTTCTCACATTGCTTTTTGCTGTATGTCTGAAGTGAAGAATTTTCTAAGGTAAACAATTTCAACAGTCAAGGTTCAAATGTGGGAACGATATTGATGTTTTTCTTAAATGATAACAACATTACTAAAATAATAAAAGGATTTAGGAAATGAAGGATCATAGTATTTTAATTCTACTTTCTTCTCAAAAGTAAATGACTAGTTATATTACCCTGTTCCTGTTACCAGGAACAGATTTAAAATATGATCTCAAGCTAAAGTTGTTTCTGATAGCCACATAGCCAAATCGAAATAAGACATATATTGGGCTAAAAGTTAAAACGACGGAGTTACTATGATATTGAAGGACGAACCAGCAAGATCATAGCAGACCATATCGAATGAGCCCAAAAGCCAGCTTTATGATCACTATTTGCGTAGAACATTCCCAAATTAAATCATTTTTTCTGGAATGGTGTAAATTATTTTCGCAACTTAACAACATGTTTACAACTCATAAAGTCTTTAATGTACGCAGTCATAAAACAGGACCAGATTAGGTATATTGAATCAGTGTATTGAGTACTTCGTTATCAGTTATCAACTCGAACCTATTATCACCTTTTATTTTTTATTTTCCAGATTTAACCAGGATAAATATTAGTTAATATTAAGTTTTGCCAATCATTATAAAAATTTTTTTTTGTAAAAAGGTGTACAAGTTAGTATGAAAATTGTAATATAGTCAAAGTTTTTATTTCTTTTAGTCTTGACCATGACAAATTAAAAATAGTTAGCATCATATCGAAGTAAATTGATAGAGAGTACATAAAGCAAGAGAGGCGACGGTTAATGTGACGTAAAGAAATGTTTTCAAATATTTATTTTTGCTTGGTATAGGAATAATAATGCCGTTATTTAAATTATGGTAACCCAAAGGTAGCAATGCTAAGTAAACCTAAATACATTAACATTAATGTGATAATCAGGAATTATCAGCAATTAAAATATAATTTATTAAAATTATCTTGAGAGTTACCTTGTAACTAGATTGTTAGATTGTTGATTAATTATCATCTAATCCGAAAATGATACATAAATCTGTATCAATCATAATATTGACCTTAAAGACTCTGTAGTAATTGAAGCGACGGTTACCGAAAGATAAAAAAAATCGTTAAATATAAAAATGATAAATGCAAAAAAATACATGATAAAATCAAATCTTATTTATAACAAAATCTTAATATCAAAATATTGAATACACTCAATGTATGTACATAAAATTAAATAAATTAATAAGAAAAGATTCTTACCTGAATTTAAATTTGGTACGCCAAAAGGTGTAGGTCCTTGAAACATAGGTCCTGGTCCAGCAAATGGATTAACAAGACTTTGATGTGGCCAATTAGGATGAGCCGCTTGATAAACAGCGGCGGCTAATGCAGAGAAAGGTGTTGGTCTAATCGGGGCTTGATTCAACACATTTTCTCTACCAAAGTCTCTTTGCGCGACGAAACTTTCCGCGTCTTTAGCATCTTCCGAATCTTTGTTATCGGAATTAAGATCTTCGACGTCAACGATCGAGTCTTCGGCGTTTGAATCGTACTCTTCATCGCTTGATTGGTGTGGTGGGCTTGAATTTGGAAGGGTTGAGTTTTGGGAAACCGGCGATGTTGATCTGTTACTGTTATTGTTGTTATTATTATTATTGGTGTTCGGCCTGGTGTCCGCTAAAAGCGATGCCACACTGAAACTGATGTGTCCGTTTTTGTTCGATTTCTCGCACATAGCCTCAGACGAAGAAGTTCCAGAAGCACCGTTGTCGAGGCTCACGTTTTGGATGGTCATAGTATTTCCAGTTTGTCGTTTTAACATTAATGATAACCCGGTCCTCGTGTCAAACCATCGCACATCCGAATGATAAAAAAAAATAATGTTAATGAGTCGTTAAAAAATATTCACTTTTATTAAAACTTTTTTTTTAATTCGACCGATTTTAACGTAAAATTTTTATGAGTTATCGCAGTCATAATAGATGTATTATAAATATATGTACAAAACACCACTTCTACATCAGTACGATTCTGCTATAACACTAAAAGCTGCCTTCGTTTCATACCCCCGATTATCCTGCTGTACAGGCGGAGCTAAAATAGGCGTGGTGGAGAGATGAAGACGCCTTCGTACCTAAACGTTTCCACCAATCGGTAAACGTTTCATTTCCATGCAACTCTCACTTACTAACCGGTTGTCCTGCTGAATACTACTTAGTATAATTCCTTAAAAAGTACTAATAAATTAATTATTAATTTTGATTAATTTTGACAATAAATTATTTTTAAGTAACTAATTTTCTTTTACATTATTATCCATGGAGTTACTAAAAATTAAATTCAACTGTTTTCCTTTTAACGCAGCTTTCCGACGGAAACCTTCACTTATAGTAACCTTTATAGTTTAATAGCATTCTTTTTTTTAGATTATAGATAGTGTTATTCTATTTACCTTGATATTTAATAATTGCGTATCTAATTACCCACATGTTATAACACAATTTATATTAATTTTCCATTAAAAAATTAACCGGATACGATTAATAGATATTAAAACCAGCATCAATTAGCAAAGATTAGAGCAATTAAATTTGGATTAAAATGTCATCATTTCGTTTAGATTTAACATAATAACTTAATATATATTTTATAAAACTCTTCTGTCAATTACAAAAAATTGTTTGTTAATATAAATTCAATTATTAATACAGGGTGATTTATTAGCTCACCATCAAACTTTGAGATATGATAGCTAATCCAATTACCAAAATAAAATTTTAATGAAAGTTTTCTGCAGCGAATTTATTAATAATAGTCAGTAAAATAATTATTACATACAAGAACAAACTCAAAATGTAGGCTTATAGCATTGAAGAGTATGCTGATATAATGGTGCTTGTCGATGGCAAAAACGAGAATATCAAGAAAGATTTCCACAGCGTCATTTGCCATAATATTCAGTTTTTAGCGATTCTTTCAGAAGACTTCGAGAAACAGGTAATCTTGCTCCAGCAAAAGTTATTCAACAAACAGAATGTTCAAACTCTGCAGCCAGGAGATAATCAGCAAAGATTAGCATTTTGTGAATGCTAACCTGCAACATGCCCAAAATAATGACTTCATTTCAAATGTTCTCTTGACAGATGAATATGAATTATATGGACATAATGAACATATTTGGGCATTACAAAATCCGGATGCGATTAGACCAAAAAAATTTCAACAACGTTTCAGCATCAACGTTTGGGGTTGGGGTGTACTTGAAGATATACGTCTTAATGTAATTCAAAATATGTGGTACCAGCACGATGTTGCCCCACATCATCGCGGAAGAGTAGTTGTCGAATGGTTAAACCAATATTTTCCAAACAAGTGGATTGGTAATAATGGTCCATTTGCTTGGCCACCTAGATCCCCCGACCTTAATCCATTGGATTTCTACTTATGAGTCATGTATAAAGAGGAAATTAACACATGAGAACAGTTATTAAACAGAATACAAATGGTTGCTACTGAAATAAGAAATCAACCAGACATTTTAATTCGGCTGAAGAACTCTTTAATTCGTCATTGTAAAGCATGTATTCTAGCAGAAGGAGGCTATTTTGAATATTTGTAATATTTATGTGTTTTAAAAAAAATGTTGCAGTTAATTATGTTAAAAATTAAAACTTTAAAGTGTTATAATTTTGTAAATAATTGAAATAGGATAATTAATAGGATAAACATTTTTTTTTGTAATAAATCAGCTAATGAATCACCCTGTATATTTTAATTGGTAAAATGGAATAATAACGTTTAGGGTGAATTCCGATAACGATAACAAAATACTCAGATTGTCTCTGATTTTTTTCCTTGTATAAAATTAATGATACTGTTGGGTAAACTTAAACATATTAATATTAATGTGATAAATAGAAAGCTTTCAAATGACTTAAAATCCTATATTTCAAGTTCACGGCTAATACATTGATCTTCGTCAACACTTTATGACAGATGCAATTAAATTACATCTCTTTGAAATAAAACATATAGAAACGTATATTAATTGGTAACAGATGTTTAATTGGGTTACCTCGTAATTAAGTCCATTCAATTTATCCTTTTAAATTGTTGAGTTAGATAAGAATTTCTTTCAGAAATATTGTACAAAACTTAAATTGTCCTATCTTAAAAGTTATTCTGCACATCTTGCAATTATTCCTCATTGCTATTATTAATTCCTATTATTGCTCTCATTATTGCTCTCAACTTTATTGTATGATGATGCATAAATTCGAAGATTGTACTTGATCTCCATTACTGTCGTTTGGGTTTACAGTAACAGTATCAAAATTTTACAGCTTTCCCAAAAACTTCTCTGCTGCACTCTAAATCATCTAAATGATGCGATATTTTGTCGTTTGTCAAGCCTCAAGTGATAAAAATTCAATATTATATTCCCAGCTATCGAAACGCGTCAATATACGCTTGATCGACATTACGAAATATTGAAATATTATTTTCAAAATACTCAAGCAGTAACCGATTTTGCCAAAAATTGAATACCCAATTTGATTAAAATGAAGTGCCAACTGAGAATGGTGATTCCACCTCAGACTTTTAGACAGTTAACTGATCGGTTAAAAAAAATGAGCGTTTTTTCCAAAGAATCATCTCTTCCCATAAAACTCATTTTCACGTTGGAGGTTAAGTGGATAAGCAAAATGAGAAGAAAATCCTCATGCAATAATTGAAAAGTCAACACATTCAAATCGAGTGTTGGCTAAAGGCATCATCTTTAAATCATCTACTTAGAAACGATTAAAGCTAGGAGAAATAGTGGTTCAAGCGATTAAATATGTATTAAAAAAATTGATCTAGAGATCGTAGTTAGCAATTGAGTATCATAACCCCAAGTCATCCTTTGAATATGTATCTTGTAAGAATTGAATTTATGTCTTGAGCGATCAGATTTCTTAATTTGGTGTTTCCAAAACTAGTAAGTTTCATTTTCATATTTAATTTTTTATTACTTTATTATTTTATTCTGTTACTTTATTATTGTGCTCCATCCTGCATTAGTTTGGGTTACTTGTAGTCACTTTGGGTTTGGAGTAGATAGTCTTCTCGATTGCGACATGGAGATTCACTCCTCCAAATACAGCAATTCTACATCTGTTCTTCTTGAACAATAATGATGTGCTAATATTAATATAACAAAATGTTCCGGTTGATTCTAACCTGTTGATGCTGCTCATCTGCACGATATTTCCTCGATATTTTTGATTCTGTGTGAGTAGTACTATAAACCGGACAGAACTTGGATTGTCATACAAAAGAACAAAAAAGAGCTATTAGATTTGACCCAACCCAACCCAAATAAATTGCGACAAGTCAGAAATACTTAACGGCGAATCTGAACAATTTTGTATTTGTGTTCTGGAAAATTACAAAATTCCAAGACGTGCGCAGACTTCTTGTTTTCTCGGGTGGATTATTCAGTTACTAATGTGTACCAGTATTTGATGCAATAATACAGACTTGATAAGATTCTGGCTTAACCCAGGTTTTAGAAGGTTTCTTGACTTTCGGTAGTCTTGATGATAGCGAAGAGTTATGAACTAAAAAGCAATCAGGTTAGATGATGCAAATATCATACAACCATTGTTATAATCCACTTTTTTTGAGTTGCATTCAATTTTGAGCCACAATTTATTTCATGTTTACCAACAGACTCCTATTCCGACTCACATGATAATTATGTCCCAAACCAACGCTATAGTAGCTGAACCAACCTTTCCAGAAATTCCAAAATTGTGCTCTGCTCCGACAGTTCAACTGCGTACTATATGAACTGTAAGGCAGATTGTAAGTGTCAAATTAGTGCAAAGTGTTGCTGGTAGAAGCCTGATGTATATTAACACAGCAATGTTATATTTATGATTACTGCATATTTATGTACAATTATGTTTAAGTATTAATGACATAACCATAGCGTTAACATAGAACCTGTATTAACGTATAATAACGTATGTACATATTTCGCTTCATTATTTCCGACATCATAACAAGAAGAAAATTAGAATAATGTCAACGAATTTCCTGTTATTAATAACATTACATTTCTTCATTACACGCATATTGAGACCCTCAACACTAACGTAATTGCAAATAAGATTGCAATCAAACCATCTCGTATTTAATCAATAGTTGTTTTGTGTACGCATATGAGGGTAATTAGATAACGTCTTCTCAATGACTAAGTTCGCAGAGTTTTTCATTGCCGTTCGATTTATCCGGATGGTGGCTTTTCGCTTTCCGCATTAGGTGCATTTTCCGTAGCTGTACGATAAATACTTTAGAATATAGGCATAGATACAGAAACTGTCGATAGGGGAAGGTGCCTATTAAACAAGTACCCTTATTGTGCAAGGAAATACGGAAGGAATGAAAACGTAACGTATTTCTAATGTTAAATACCCTGTGGAGTTGGGAAGTCTAAGTATTATTGGACAGATGGTTGGATTAAGTTGAAATTAGTCCAACAAGAACATGATAATAGTTTTTTGTAAACTTTTAACACGTGACTGTTATTAAATTACTAAAATTTCTAAAATACTCAAAGACAACTTGCAATTTGTATACGTCATATTTTTAATATTATAATATCCGTCCAAAGTGTCATTAAAATTCCGAAAATTCTCGGCGCGTTCTCAACTCAAAGCCTCTCAAAGCGATTGAATCGGACTACCATGGTAATTAGTACAAAAAACATCCGCACATGACAAGGGTGGCGCTCCAAGCCGGTGGCAACTCGATCCGAGTCTCGGAAAGAAGAAACTTAATACGTGTCTAATTAGCAAACGCGGTTTCTTCGGCCTTATTAGCCCCGTTCTCATCTCCACAAACAGCAACGTGTTTCCTATTTAACGTCTATTAGTGTGGACTATTACAAATTGATCTCGACGACGACGTCACAAATACCTATATATTCCGTCTGGTATAAAGTATTAATTCCTATAATCTGGAAACGCGATATTTTCAAC